AAATATGAACGCTAGTGTCTTAAACAGTCATTCTGGATCATTTGAGTGCGTGTCTAATAAAAGAGCGGCTATTTGCGCCCTCTGCTGTGATCCGTATGTACTAGAACTTTCAAATTAATTACCATCGTTGTTTACACGCGCAAAACCGATTATAACGGGTGATTTTTTAAGAGGTATAGGATTTGATTTTCAAAAAAAAAATACAAAAAATTTGAAAAATAGATTAAATCTTTATTTGAGTCGATAGAGCGGTCCATATAATTTAATGTTTAAAGATTATTTCATGTAAATGTTGGCCGCGGCTCTGCTTTAGATGGCCCATGCGCAAGGTCCAATTTTGGCACACTCTCTCCAACATATCGGCCGGTATCTGACGAATAAATGCTTCAATATTGGCTTCCAGTGCGTCAATCGTTGCTGGTTTATCCCTGTAGACATTAGCCTTAACATGGCCCCACAAGAAATAGTCCAACGGCGTCAAATCACACGATCTAGGCGGCCAATTGACGGGCCCCAAACGTGAGATATACTGTTCACCGAACTCGCCTCTCAATAGGGCCATTGTTTCGTGTGCGGTGTGGCATGTGGCACCGTCTTGTTGAAACCACATGTCAGCCAAGTCCAGCTCTTCCATTTTGGAAAAGTTTGATATCATCGCACGGTAGCGCTCGCCATTCACAGTTACGTTCCGGCCATTGTCGTCTTTGAAGAAGTACGGCCCATAATCCACACCAAACAGTGATTTTTTTGGGATGCATTGGTAGCTCTTGCAATGCTTCTGGTTGGTGTTCACTCCGGATGCGGCAATTTTGCTTGTTAACGTACCCATTCAATCAACTGAACAAGTTTGACAATGACACAAGACACGATTCACGCATCACCTGTCAAAAACAGTGTTGCCAAAAAGATACTAGCAAAAAATCACCCATTATTTGCTGAACATGGTTAGAAAAAAGGAAATTTCACTTGAAAAACGTTCACAAATACTTATTTCGAGAAAAGTGGGTAAAACAATTCGTGAAATTGCAAATATTGTTCGTGTTTCGAAGTGTGGAGTGGAAACCACATTCAAGCGGTTTGCTGAAACCAACTAAAATTTTAATCGAAAATGCTCTGGCCGACAACCCAAGCTGATGGTAGACACATTTTATTGATGAGCAAACAAAATCGGTTCAAAACAGCAACAGGCATTCGTGCCAAAATTAACAAAATTCTGATTAACCCAATTTCGGTGGATACTGTCAAACGTCGTTTGCGAGAAAAGGGTTACTTTGATCGCGTTGCTGTGGAAAAACCACTTCTACGACTACAAAACAAGCGAAAAAGATTATTGTTTGCTCGAAAAAAGACTGGTCAGTTGATCAGTGGAAGTTCGAGATTTTTGGATCTAGGCGACGCCAGTATGTTCGTCGAAATAAAGAGCGGTATAATCCCCAATGTACTGCCAAAACTGTTAAACATGACGGAGGCTCCGTAATGGTCTGGAGGTGTTTCAGCTACGATGGTGTTGGAAAACTGCTCAAATTCGAAGGTACAATGCGGAAGGAACACTATCACAATATTCTTCAACGAAGTGCCATTCCATCTGGCATTGGTTTGATCGTCAACGGATTTATGTTTCAACAAGACAATGATCCCAAGCATACCTCTCCCATCAGTGCATGAACTATCTACGGTCCAAGGAAGAGGAAGGTGTGCTCAAAATCATGGACTGGCCGCCGCAATCCCCTGATGTCAATCCGAGCGAGTTATTATGGGATGAGCTCGACCGGCAAGTGAAGAACATGCACGCGACCAGTAAGAAACAGTTATTCGGCAGTCTAAAACTGGCTTGGGAGAATATCGCGACTAAAGCACTTCAAAAATTGGTCAGAAGGCTTCCAAGAATATGCGCTGCAATCATCATAGCACGAAGTGGACACATTGGCGCAAAACACCTAATTTGACTTTTCATCTCTTCATTATTTTTAGACATATTTATAAGAAATTTGGATGTAATAAACATAAATAATATCGAAATAGTCTTTTTTAGTTTATATACAAGATTTGATCACAAAATGATGTTTAAGACAGGAAAAACCAATCACAAACAAAATAAATTGATTTTTTCGATGGTGTCCTTATACTTTTGCACGGTAGTGTACTTCTGCCATTTGCTAAGTTGGGTAGACCCTAACTAATAAAGAGTTATTATTTATTATATTAAAAACCCACGTTATGTCACAAAAAACATATGAAATGTCACTTTTCCGAATACTTGATTCCCGTGCCGGAAGGTCATGGCAGAGACAGTGCTAAAACAGGAAAAGTTCGCAGCCACAGTAAACAAAAATTCTGCACTACTAAAGTCTTAGAATTACACATTTACATCAGATAAAACCAGAAAATATGATATAAAGTACAGTCTAGCTACCTTATGCATTCCAATTAAACATTGAAAAGGATCTGGAAGGCTATAAGCTCTTAAAGTCTAAGTTTGCGAGCGAACTAAGAGAACTGCACTGTTTTGGTCTTTGACAAACGACCTCACAATGAATCATTGTTCACAATAACGTATTCACAACATTACTTGAACACTATCGTAAAGCTAAGAATGTATTCGTGAAAATATTGTCAAAATAATTTTAGTGATATGAGTTGCCAATAACCTTTATAATGAAATAAAAAAACTAGACCACCTAAAATGACCCTTATGAATTCGTTCTGTGCAAGGCGTTAGAAATCCATAATTCCGTAAATATTGGGGTGGAACAACTTAAGAACCGACTTTTTCCAACAACCAAAAACTAAACATTAACATTTTCGTGATTCCTAGCTGTTTCTAATAAGGTCCATATCCCCTTTCTGAACCAAGTTTGGAAAATAAGGTAAATTGATAAATTTTTAACGATGCGACTTCCCGCAACGTCAGTGTTCTTGGATTTGATGAGTGTTAGTGTGGATATGAGGAATTTCTTATCGCATTGCCATAATGACGACTTTTTAATAGCTAGCCCTACAAAGAACTTGGCCTTCCATGGTCCACGCACATCAAATTCAATCCGCTTAGCCCTCTGACCTACCAGATATCAATACTGAAGTACCCTAGAGAAGTTTTGGTGCTTAGTGCGCTACTTGTGTATTCCAGGGGCTTGATTCTAAATGATTTTCGACCATTGAAGTTGATTTCGATGGCGCCTTTTGACGATATACTTGATTGGCCATGATAATTTTGACATCTGATTGTATTGATCTTCTATATTCAAATTATCATGGCAGTGTCAAAGTTATCGTATCTAATCAAGTATATCGTTACAAGGACCCATCGAATTCAATTTCATCGGTCAAAACTCATCTAGAATCAAGCCCCAGGTGTCTCCGCTGTTGTCTGTTAGTAAGGTATAGAACTCCACGAATATCTTGGTGGAATTAAATTGTTTCAACAACGGACGATTGATAGATTTATCTGAAATGAGCGCTAATGAACGCCATCATATCACTTCATTTAAACACTTGGGTATTATTTTCGCTACCAGATTTGAGCAGAAGCACCGTATAAAGCAGAGAACAGATTTTAAGCTCTGCTACAAACAGTATTATTGCCTAATAGGGATATCTTCAAAGCAACTGACGCAAAATAGGATCATTGTTCATAACTATATCGTGAAACCCATAAGTGCATGTGGCTCATGTACTGGATCAATCTGTTCAGGAACGATCTTATACTGAAGAACGATGTGAGCCAGTTTTGTCACGACTGTATACACTTAAAAGAGGTCTTCGCTGCTCAAGTGCAAATTTTTCTCTAGTATATCTTTCAAAAAACAACTTTATTTTGCTAGATTATGTCCCACAAATCCGAACGCAATTAAACATTCCAACTTGCAAATAATCCGAGCGCACGTCTCTAAGTCCCTCCCGTCCCACTTTTGTGTATAATTAAAATTCGACAGTGAATGCCGCGTTTTCATGTAAAATCCTGAGAATTCAGTAATATTAGTAAGAGCTTTAGGTAATCTCATCATTGTTCCTACTTGGTTACGGATTTAGTAATTTCAAAATTGAGTCAGATTTGTCTAGACGTCCCACGTCTGTATAAGGGTGACATAAGTCCTTTGTTGATTGTATGACTTTATCTTGTACTGTTGTGGTTTAAAGTCTTGACAATCAAGACATGATAAGCATATTTTTATATTTAAAGGGTACTTAGCCCTGATTGAGCTTTTTCTTCCAACTAGTAGCTCCATATTGACACTTTGACATTCAAGTGCTCAGTGCCAGTCGAAAATCTAATTCTCTTGGATCCAATCGAATGCTTTCTGGAAAAATATTGAATTCAATAAGTCATGGTGGACTCTGGGAAGATCAGAATATAGAAAAAGCTAACAATCCTAAACGCCACTGCGATCCATATGGATGTATTGTGTCTCCCAAATAAACTGTCTAAAGTGCTGTGTCTAGCCTCGAATGTTCAATCATACTCCATATCCTTAAGACGGGGCTTTGCATGTAGCTTTCTACCATTAGACTTGTGATTCCCAATTAACCCAGATATCCCTAACTTCCTATCAGAAGGACAGCGCATAAAACAATTTTTGTATACGCCACTGGCTCGAAGCGCAGTTGCGCCATCTGTGGAACTGTTCTAGAATATCCTATAGTGTTGACATAACGGACCAAGCAGTGGTTTATTCTAGTTGTCCTGGTTTGATTTAAGTCCAACTTGGTGCGAAAATGAACGAGTGTGGAGTTAAATTTGCAAGGTACGAAAATTATCAATATACCTTATTTTACAGACCTTTCACTTGAGTTGCGTATTGTAAGTATTACAACATTTCTTCTAATCTGATAGGATTCAATATACCGCATGGATGTTTGCCAAAAAGTGAGATTATTTGAAGCCGTCCTATATTTAGGACGTCAGGATTATTCGTTACTTATATTCGGGAATTTTTCTGTCATTGAAGTCTAACGCTCTCCTTTGTTTGTTTAGAGGATTTTCATTGCACGAAGCTTTGGCAATGTTGGAGGAAGACGATTTTTCACATGATTCAGCGGAAATAGTGATGCTTCCACCAGAAACCGGAGCTGAAACTGACGAAGATTCTGGAGATGAGGATACCGTGTCTCCCGATAACCTACCATCCTCACAGCTTCGTGCTCCAGCTGAAATATCACTACCATTAGAGGACTCAGACTCAGACGATGACAATCTTCCGTTGTCAAGGTTGGCTACTAGGTCTAAGCCTCCAAAGTCATCTAGGGCCTTCAACTGGAGAGACTCTCATGTGTCCGCGTCTGAGTCATTTGTACAATTAGAGGTAGAAAATGATGAAGAACATTCGCCGGTTTCCCTTTTTTTTTAGTCTTTTTGACGGTTATATATTCGACGTTTTAACAGAAGAATCAAACAGATATGCGACAATGAAAAATTTTAATAATAAAGCTATAACTACATCGGACATGAAAAGCTTCGTTGGAATCCTGATCTTGAGCGGTTATGTGCCATACCCCAGAAGAAAAATGTTCTGGGAAAAGAACAAGGACGTGCATAATCAACTGGTATCTGAAGCACTTTCTAGAGATAGATTTTATTATATTATGAAGGTGTTTCACATAGCTGATAATAATAACCTGGCTCAGAATGATAAATTTGCAAAAGTTAGGCTACTCGCTGAAGCCCTGAATAAGAATTTCTTGAAGTTTGCACCGCACCAAGAACACCATAGTGTTGATGAAGCGATGGTGCCTTATTTTGAGTGCCATGGCGCTAAGCAATTTATAAGAGGTAAACCTATACGATGAGGCTACAAGCTTTGGGTAGGCTGTACACGAAATGGTTACATAAACTGGTTCGAACCATATCAGGGGGCGAGTACCCACGTATCAACAAAACATAAGGAGCATGGTGTGGGAGCTGGTGTAGTGCTTACATACGTGGTTTTTCTAAGGAGCCGGTGGCCAGACTGTAAATTCCATATTTTTTTCGACAATTTCTTTTCGGGAATACCGCTTCTTGAACAACTATCTGCATGTGGCATACGGGAAACTGGTACAATTAGAAGTAATAGAATTACGAATAACCCTTTGAAATCGGTAGCTGAAATGAAAAAAACTGCAAGAGAGACGCACGACTACAAGACAGATCTTGATAAAAATTTGACAGTCTTATGTTGGAATGATAACAGTGTAGTATCTTTAGCATCAACTGCGGTTGGTGTCAACCCTATTCGCATGGTAAAACGGTACTCCCAAAAAGAAAAAAAAACAGTTCTAGTACCCCAACCATTTATGATAAGACTTTACAACGAGAACATGGGTGGGGTCGATAGGAGTGACCAGAACGTTTCTCTATACCGTACTGGAATTAGAGGTAAAAAGTGGTACTTCTGCATATTTACCCACTGTATCGACATGGCCGTGCAAAACGCATGGCAACTATACCGTATATTCGAAGAAGGATTTCTACCTTTTTACTTGAAACAAACAAGAAAAATACTACCCACTCAGTGGGTCGTCCAAGTCAAAGGGAAAATATTGATTCGCGGTTTGACGGATTACACCATTATGTCATTCCCCAAAATAAACTGACCAGATGCCGTCACTGCCATCTTAAAACCACTACAAGGTGCATCAAGTGCGACATTGGGCTTCATGTGAAATGCTTTGTCGATTTTCATACCAGATAAGAAGAAGAAAGAAGAAGTAGTATGTGTTCCTAACATCCTACATGAAGGATGGCGTTTTTATGGAAAATTGTAATTTTTTTTTCTGATATATCCATTAAATATTGTTTATAATACTTAAATAAACTGTTTCCTAAAACCTCATAAGTTTTTGTCGAGTCTTTCATGGTTCAGGAACAAGTTGGTTAATGAAGCTTCAGCCTTGCCAGGCTTTCTGAGTCACACAAAAGATGCACTGGGGCCTCCACACGCTCTCTGTAGACTGTGCCTCATATGTTAAATTGGAAGACAATGTTCTGTTTGAGACCCACTATGACTAATGAACCTTTTACCAACCTTTGGTCTGTTTCACCGTTCTACGCACTTTTTATTGGCTCATTTTTTATGGATTGATTCATGTGTGTCCTGTCACGCCACAGAAAGGCTCTGGGGTTATTAGACGATTTGTCGCACTTTTTTGGGCTGGGCCCTACACCCTCTTGTTTCCTTTATGCCTTTCGCGTCCGGGTGCCCAGAGCATTGTTTCCTTCCTTATAAGCTCCTTTGCAGAGACTTGTGTGGTTGATATCTCATCCTTAAATACTGTTGCTATGTTACCTACATTCATAGAGATCGCGGTTCTTGGCCTTAGCTCATAAATCCATGCTCTCATTGCGTCTTCGGTTTTGTAGCCCTCTGGGCAACCAAGAGTCTGATTGAGTGATTTTGTGGCTTCTTCTGTAACAAAAGACACATCTAGTTCAAGGTATGACCTGACAGAAACAGTAAACTGTGATATGTTCATAGGAGAGATGTCTGCTGTTCATAATATGTAGAAAATACTTTTATCTTGTGGAATTTTTTGCTCCATTTTCATTTCATCCAATGCCGTTCTCTTCGTCCACCTCGTAAAAGTAGCACGATTATTCTTCGTCACTCTCCATATCCCCGACATCGATATAATGCAGACAGACACTGACAAAGCTATAAGCATAACAGCTTCAGCTCAGCTTCAGGAAAACCAGGACTCATGATAAATCCGAATGCGTATAAAAAATGCGTGTTACAGATACTCCGGGATGTATGTTTGGTTTATTTTTCTCCGCACACCAGGCACCATCAATATACACATCATGTCCTGCAACCGAAACGTTATATCACCTTCCATGGAAGTATAGTACAGTCAAACTAGTTAAAACGTATTTGAAGTCTCCATTGCGTATATGATGTCGAAATTTGGTGCTCTAAAAGTTACACATACACCAGAATTTCGACGTCCAAAATTCAGAACATCTAAAGTTTATTTCAGGGTTGCAAACAAAAATCAATTCAGTTGAGTTATAGACTGAAAAGAAATATCCTTGATTCATCAAATACTTGCACGATGCCAGAATTGAAAGAATTCTCGCTTCAACTTTTCACATCGCAGATTGGCAAATACCTATATAGCTTAGAATATATGGCAGTTCAGTATTCAGGAACGCCAAGGCAATCCTTCTTCAGTCCTGGCATGTCATTGTATAGATATTCAAAATGATCCGACGGAGTAAGTCATTAGTGAGGACGTTCAGATGATTTGTCCGTTTATCGACAATAATCACGACGTTATTAGAACGTATCTCGGGACCCTCTGTCAGCTATGTACCGTTGTTCTACCGCTATCTCAACGGACCTTGCTCTTATCTTCCGGCCTCTCTTGCTAACCGTGTCGATCTTTGTATATCCAGAACTCCTCTGTCCCTGGGGTATCGAGACTTTGTAAATTATACCTGGGAAGATTTTTCCCAGTTCAAAAGTGGGATTAGCAAGGTTTCTTTCCCAGTTCTTTAATTTCCTGGCCTATTTATCAGTCTGTATTCCTGAAAGAGAAGAAAACGGAAGGAAAATCAAAGGGAATGGCAGAAGCATTTGCCGCGAAATGGCTGTATCACTCTTTCCGCTCCTCCTAGTCGCTTCCTTTCTTTTAATGCAAATAAACGATGTGTGAATATCAATATCGGAGTGACTCGACAGGGCGATTCGGGAATATTTGATGATGATGATGGAGAACTCAGATGTCAGGCTTCCGCACTGGATACAAGATGAATTATGTTTGCGATGTTTAATAAGTCACTACGCGTGAACATTCCCGGCGATTCGATAAGTTCAGATGTCGCGCGTTCGCCTAACGCGCGCTACATGGAATCAATTCTAGCTGTCCGCATGAAAGCGGGAGAGAATGTAAACGCGTACGGCACCACTAGTCGCAGAGTATCTCGATGCTGACCAGTTCAGCTAGCGCTTAAATCTACCGTACCTGGTATGTTTTTCAAAACATTGCTTTCTACCATATAGTACTGAAATGGAAACCAAAGAATTTAACTCAGATCTTTTTATCGATGAAAGCCTGCGATTTGGGACATTCCTAAGTTTATTGAAATAAACGGAAAAAAGCGTCTGGGAGGTTCATTTTTTCTAAGGCTGAGACATACCCAACTAGCAAAGTAGTGGTATAAGCTTCTGGTAAAAGAACCGTTCAGCCATAAAAGCTCTCTATTGTTGTTGCCTGAAGACAAAAATGCTGGCTTAATGTTGTGTGGAATGCAGATTTGCTTTCTGCAACATATTTGCTCTAAAATGAAGTGTTTAAAATATTCTTACAGCATAGTTATACAACATCTTATAGGGCAAATTTTTAACTGTTGCATAAACGTTTATACAACTATTTTTTACGGCACTACGGCATTACGGAACCCGAGCCTTGCTGTTTTGCTGAGCAATTTCTACTTTAGCCAACAAATTGTTCCCAACGGAAGCACTTATACAACTGTTGTTTAGTAACTGTTAAAGGCTGTACATATGCTAAATATGTTGGTAAACAACTTCACCATAACCTAACTTTCTGCTGTCATATTTTTGTAAAATGCTAAAATGCCATAATCAATGTTTTAAGACAAACAACGCATGCATATTGGTTCAAAAGGTTTTATCAATTGTTCAAACAGAAGATATAGATCTGGTACAAATTCTGGGTAAATCATTCGACTCTGTCGGTATTTCATTTCAGACATTTGTCAAATTGTTGTATAACACCTGCAGGCAAGACCAAAATATTCTAATAACCTAAAGACAACATGGACGTTGCCATGGTTGTACACAACCACCCGCCATATTGGGCAAACATTTATTCCTCTATTTAATATTAAATAATTATGTTTCAGTTCGAAATTACAGATATAAAAAGATAAACATTAGTGTAATTGTGTCTAAATGTAGGATTTGTGGAAGATTCAACGTAGATAAGTTCAGTTTTCCATTTTAAAAATCTAGACATACTTTTGATCATTGTCAAAATATGAATCAAATACGTAGCCCGTAGAAATTGGGTAACTAGTTTGCATGATAATCACAATAAAATTCGCTGCGCAAGTAATTCAATAGCCCTATATCACAGTGTAGAACTTTATCATATACCTGTGTATGAAATTCACAATGACCGACATGTAAGTAAACAAGATGACAGTAATGTGTTAGTTATATATTCTTCACTTCGTCTATACAATACATAACAAATAGTTTGGTTGCAATAAAGTAGAATCACGTAACATAATAGTTGTATAGTTGACAATGAATCTTGCACTGACGCAAATGTCCTATAGCAGCTGCAAGAGGCTTACACTTTTGTTTTATAACTGCTACCTGCAGCCCTTATTTAACCTCTTAAATGACTGAAAAGTCCTATTAGGTGTGCCCATTCCGCTTGTATAGCTGTTCTGAGAGGGTTTTGCCAATGTTCTTACAGTATACAATGCTGTTTAAGGAATACTGTATAATCGTTCTTGCAACTCTAATAGGAGTGATAATTGTTAGTTGGGTAGCATATACGTATATATAAACTTGTACAAGGTGTATTCCTTAAAATTGGGTGAATCCAGTATATTATTTCTATCCTGTGGCGTTTCATTGTTCTATGTGTGTAAGCACTATACGCTGACTCGATTACCTAGCTTCATTCTATATGAGGGTTGTAGGCAACTTGAGGTAAGAATCTCCAGAGTCCTCCCTTTGGAATCCGTCCGAAATAACGAATTCGCACTAGGGACAAGCTTGTGACTCGTTTGTCGCTGAAATTACGTACTCATTAGTTATGGTATCAGTTAATACAAGTGATCACGCATGAGCCGCCGGTTTGACATTTGTTGGGATATTAGATTGTGTTCCAGACAGTTGCTGATGCTATTATATACGTCAATATTGGGCTTTTACCTGGATGGTTATGACGTAATTTTGATTCATTCCATTTCTTGTTTCAGTGAGCATCCAGTCCCAAGCTAAGCTTTATTATCAGAATAGGTAATAACAACAGTGAGAGATGTAAAACCAAATTTTTTGATGGACAGTGAAAAAAGGCTAATCGAAACGTTACTTAAACCAAACTAAAATTTTACTTTATCTACTTTAATTTTGGAACTAAAAGCTCTTAGGAAAGATACTTTCACGTAGTAGTTATTTTACGATCTTACTGTTCGAAATTCTATGGAGAAGGCGCCATGCACCCAAAAACAGCTATGAATCTGAAATGAGTTAAAATACTTTCAAATGTATGTATAAGGAATAATCGAAAGCGTCTCAATAGTTTGCTCAACTTTGCTTTTAACCAGGAATCTGCTCGGATGACAACAAGTATGTAGATAAATTAAGCAGTTTTCGTCCAAGGTGCCCCACTATTCCCAATATCAAGTATTCCGCCATTGGTGCTGTATGATGGAGAAAATTTTTGTATGGCTCACCTACCAAAATGACAAAATTGTTTATATGCTGTACCGCTAACAAATATTTACTTTCGTTACTTTACCTTATTTAATTAATACCTGTGCATTGACAAGAGCTGAGCGATTCACAACGTAGCACAGTATTTCTGCCTTGGTCTTGAATATCCTATATACCCGATATTTTGGAATGCAACGGTACGCGATTTAGCCAAAGGTATACACTAAAACTACACAATGTTGGCCACCAACTCCTAATATACTCGGGAGGATATT